TCGGCCTCTTTAATGGCTAGCTGTCGCGCCCGGCACGGTTTCCTTACACGTGCAGACAGCGTGTAGACGATGTTTCTCACTGTCCAGGGTGGCCACCGGTGACCACACTGTGCCAGGCACTGCCGGGGCGTCACCTCCAGGGCGTGTGCAGGCATATGCACACAGTCACTCCCTGTCACCTTACGGGGACGTGGCAGGTCTCGCCCCGGAATCCCATGTGTTTTAATATTTGCTAGGATGGGGGAGAAGCCCCCAGAAGTGATGGCATCTCATCCCGGGGGGGTGTAAACTGCCATTGGGCACAACCGGCCCGTCTCACAGACCTGCCCTGAGGTCACAGTAGTCAGCCTCCCCCAGCTCTCAGGCCCCAAGCCCTCCCTCCCCTCACTCTCGCCCAGCTCGCCTGGCCTTGGGTACAAGAGGGGTGTGGGAGGCGGGCACGAATGGTCAGGCCAGGGTACTCCCCCCTTCCATGGCGGAGGGTCCTGTGCTATGAGAAGCGCGGCCATCTCCCACATCGCCAGCAGATGGCACCGCAAGCTCAGGGCTGGACTTGCATGGGTGCCCTGCATGGACCCATGGGCCCAGCAGGAAGGCCTCTGGGTGCCCCGACTCTGGCCCTTCCAAGGTGACCGCATGGCCCTGGGTGCCCAGGAGCTGTGGAGAGCCTCGAGGTCGCCCTGGGGCACCTTCTGACACCCCGTAGGCAGGCACGGCCCCTGCCCTCCTCCTTCCTCCCTGCTTTCTGCTGGGGTGTGGGTGTCACTCCTGTGTCCCGCCATCACCGCCAGAGCCCAGGACCCCAGTTCCTCTCTACAAGCTCCCTCCCTGTCCCCCCCTTTTCCTTTGCCCACAGGCTCTTTCCCGTGATCACATTCCGCCAGGACAGCACAGAGGGAGGGAGAGCCACGCAGGGCAGCGCCGGCAAAGACGGAGTTCGCGGCGTCGGCTTAGCAAAGCGTGCTCAGACCAGCACGGCGCTCAGACGCCTGAAGACGCGCACGGACACAGAAGCTCGTGGACAGGGGCCGACGCGAGGCCTGCAGAGTGAGGGCGGCGCACGCCGGCCCGGGGCAGAGCGGAGCCCGGGGCAGAGCGGAGCCGGACACGGCGGCCCGCGGGTGTCCCCGACTGTGTGCTCGTGTGAACGCCGAGTGGGGCAAAAACGGACAAGTCGGATTAAAATAGAGCACGTGGAATTCCTTCAGAATCTCAGAAGTTTTTATCCTTATGACTCAAAATTCAGATGTCATGAGATAAAATATCTACAAAGTGCATTTCTAAAATTTCACAGAAAAAAGATCATACGCAAGTCAAAATAGAAACCCGCAAATTGCGGGGACCAGCAGGTGGCGTGGTGGTTAAGGCGCTGAACACTCCCACTTGGCCGACAATGGTTCAAGCCTCGGACCTGGCGGCTTGCTTTCTCACTTCCTCCCTCTCTCTGTATGTTTCCCTTTGGTCAAATTAAAATAAATGAATGAATAAGTAAAATAAAATAAAAATAAGTAATTATTTTTTAAAAGTTTCTTTCAAAAAAAAAAAAGAAACCAGCAAATTGGGTAAAAAACGACTTATCACTCCTATGAAAAGCGGCTGACCACTCATCTCCCCGATATTTAAAAAGCTCCCAGATGTCAAAACAGAAACAGCCGGCAGGGGAAAGGGGACGCGGCAGACAGACGCGGTCACACGACAGGCGACAAGGCGTCTCTTAAAGATATGGCCAGACTTGGGCGTCACTGAGAACAGGAGAAACGATTTCAAGATATTTAAACGGGGAAAATTATATGTTTTAGGCAAAAAGTGCTCCAAAGACGGGGATACCTACAAGGACGGACGGGAAGCCTCAGCCGTCACCCCGCCGCACACACAGAGCCCCTAAAGAACGGAGCGTGGGGGCAGCCGGGCGGGGGGCGGCTGCTGCGGGCGGAGCCCCGGCCTGGCAGCCCCAGGACCATTCCCAACAGAAAGGAGGACGGAGAAGGGGCTGGGGGGCACCCACGTCCCACCGGACAGCCGGAACGCGAAACCCCAACTTTCCAGGACAGTAACCCGGGCCCGCCGGCAGAGGGCGCTGTGCAGAGGCGGGCCGGCGTGCGCGGGGCCGTGCTCAGTGTGCCCGTGGCACCGCCGATCTCAGTAACGCAGACACGTTAGGCCCCGGCGCTGCACTGCCCCGGGGAAGCCAGGGCTCCCCAGGCGCCGGGTTCGAGTCCCCAGCGGTCAGCTGAAAGGCGCCAGGCACTGTGCACCTGCCCAGGGTGAGGGGCGGCAGGGCAGGGCCCGTGGGGGGCGCCCCCTCTCGTGCACGTGTCCTCTCCTGAATTCGAGGTGCCCCGCAGTGACTCCCCTCTGCTGAATGCCAGCCGTCTCTTCTCCTCAGGCCACACAGCCTGTCGGCCGCCCCTCCTCAGGACGCACACGCCCCGGCGGGATCATGGCAGCCTCCCCCTCCACCCTCACAGGCTTCCCCTGAATCTTCCTGGCCCTTCCAGGCCCGCAGAGACCACCCGGGACGATCTCTTATCTCCCCACACCCCATTTCCCCTAAACTGCGGGGTCCTCATTCCTGTCAGCGACGGCTCGGACGGCTCCGGCTCGCGCAGTGAGGCCAGCAGAGTCCTGTCCCCGACCCGAACTGCCCGCGCTCAGCCCCCCCTCCTCAGGTCCCTGTGGAGGCTCCCGGCCCGTCCCGCAGGGCGGCCCCTTCCCTCAGGGTCGCAGCCTCCATGCCCCGCCTGTCTCGTGCGCGGGGGGCTCCTCCCCATCTGCTTCACTAGGAGTTCCCCGGTTCTTTCACGGCTGGTGACAAGGGCCACCCTGACACCCGACACCCAGACGCCTGCGCAGTGTAGTAGCAAGGGGCTGAGAGGTGCCCGCACGCCCCACACGCAAAGGTCCCGGCCACTGCGGCGCAGGCGCACACGTGAGCGAGCCAGTCACGCACATGCGCAGCAACAGGCCCCTCAGCCCGGCTGCAGGGGAGGCACGTGGACGCACACGTGAGGAACTGCACGTTGATACACGTGCTCAGAACACGTGCCTGAGCTGCAGCAGCACAGCACGTGGACGCACACGTGCCAGGACATCACGTGGACACACGTGCTCAGAACACGTGCCTGAGCCGCAGCACATGAACGCACATGTGCCAGGACGTCACGTGGCAACACGTGCTCACAACACGTGCCTGAGCCGCAGCACATGAACGCACATGTGCCAGGACGTCACGTGGACACACGTGCTCAGAACACGTGCCTGGGCCACAGCAGCACAGCACGTGGACGCACACGTGCCAGGACGTCACGTGGACACACGTGCTCAGAACACGTGCCTGGGCCGCAGCTGTGCCGGAAAGGCACGTGGGCGCACGTGCGTGGGAAGATTACCTCAGGCGCACTTGGGCAGTAACGGCTCACGCTCAGTAACGGGCACCTCAGCCGCACCCGCAGCAAGAGCACGTGGCCCGAGCACCCATGCTGGCACGGCATGTGGACACACGTGCTTAGGAACGGCACGTGGACACGCATGCGCAGAGAAGTGTGCACACAGGCAGGCATGCGTAGGAAGACAACTCAGTGGACGGGATGGGAGAGGGCCCATGGGTCTCGGGGTGGTGGCAGCACACGGGGTCTGGGGGAAGACTTGAACAGTTAGGGCGAGAAAGCCGGGGTGGCCCAGGAGCAGCTGAGGCTGCTTCCCACAGGGCTGCCTGGTTTAGGGGTTAGGGTCTCCCCACAAAACTCTCCAGGAAGCTGGACCATGTCCTTGGGGTGGAGGGGGGGGGGGGGGGCGGCCGCGGCAGCCATCGCCTGTGGGGCCGGGCGGTGCCTCCATGCCATTCAGTCACCCGGTGAAGTCCCGGTGTCCCCGCCCCTGCCCAGTGGTTCCGGCCCGTCTGTGGCACGCATGGCCGTCCCTCCCTCCTGGGGAACTGACACCCTCAGAGAGCTGAGCCCTCGGGCGGAGCCCCCGAGAAAAGGGGGCGTTTCAAGGACTCCGGTCCACGCCGGCTGCAGGGTCTGTGCCGTGCCCGAGCCGCTGTACACGCGCACGCGCACACACACACGTTTATTGGTCAAGGCTGTCCTCCATGCTGTCCGGCTCGGCGCGCATGCAGCCGGGTGGGCGGGAGTCGGTGCTCTGGGGGCGACCCCTGCTGGAGCTCGGAGCTGAGCCTGTGCTGGGGTGACGAGCTGCCCAGGCTGCTCTGAGGGTCCTGTGCCCCCTCAGGGTGGCTGGCCCCGGCTCGGCTGGGCACTCGCTGGGGACAGGGGCCGGGGCTTGTCCAGAGCTCACTGCAGGGACAGGGGCAGCCACCTGGCCCGGCCTCTTCCAGCCCCGCTCCATGGCTCCAGGCTGCGAGGACTCCACAGTCTGTGGTGCAGTGACGCCTCCTCCAAGAGGCCCCCCTGGCTTGGCACCAGGCTCAGGGCTGGAGTGTGGACGGTCAGTCAAGGCTGCTACTTCAGGGCCCTGAGGACGGCCTCCAGCTTCATGGCCACGGCCAGGTCACCTGTCACCTTCAGCCGCCCGCTCATGTAGGCGCCCAGCGGCCTCAGCTCCCTGCACAGCAGGGCCCGCAGGTCCGCCTCGGCCAGCTCCACCACCACGTCGGGGACGCCGTCGGGCACCCCGTGTCCCACCTGCCCTCGTCCTGTGGGGAAAGCAAGCCTGCATTAGTGGGGGACAGCGAGGGTGGCACCGAGTGGGGGCGACAGTCTCTGAATGGCAGGCGCCCAGGGAGAAGGGCAGCTGTGCAGGGACTCGGTGCAGGACCCCGCCCTCTGAGCGGCCGTGGGGGGGGCGACATCTGGAAACCGGCCGCACCCCTCCTGCTGTGGCCTCCCTGGGGCAGGAGGCGGCGCACCTGAGCTGAGGTCCAGGAAGTAGGCGCGCCGGGCGCCCCCGGGCAGCAGGACGTTGAACTGGTAGCAGGCCCCGACCTGGCTGACCAGGGCCTCGGACAGGAAGGGCTGCAGGACGGCCAGCAACCCCTCGGCCACGGGCTGCGGCGGGCACGGCTGCGGGCAGGGCCGGGGTCCGGCGGGAGGCGCGGGTGGCTCGGCTTCGCTCACCAGCTCCACGGTGTCCACTGGGGCCCTGTCACTGCCCCTTCCCGCCTCTGTTCAACACCCCCGACCACGTCCCTTCGGGGTCCCCTCGCTGCCTTGGCACCGGGGCCCTGGGACAGGGCGGGCTCACCTGGCCCCGGCGGCGGGGCGCCCCCTCCCAGGAAGTGGCGCGCCAGCTGCTGGAGGGTGCCGTCCAGGCTGGGCGCGGCGGGGCCGGCCCGGGGCGGGGGGAGCACGGGCCCCAGCGGCCCCGCCTCCACGCGGTCCACCTCCAGCCCCCAGGCCCTGGTCACGTCGTTGATCTCCAGCTGGGGACGGAGGGCGAAGCGGAAGGCAGTCACCAAACCGATCCCGAGCTGCCTCTGGGCAGGCTGTGGTGGCCACGCACGGAGGACGGGGTGCCAGCCTGGGAGGGGACGGAATGAGCACCTGCGGGGGCACCAGGCCAGCAGGAAGGGATGGGATTCTGCCCGGGGAGGACTCTGCTGCAGGCGCGGAACAGCAGCTGCAAACGCCCAGACAGAACCCGGAGGTCCGGGACTAGGGGAAATCTCGGCTCTACTCGGGGACAAGACGCTGGGGCCAGAGGCG